GGGAGGCCCTCTTCCGTCTCTGCCTGTGCTCCCTGTGCTCCCTGCGGGGTCCTCAAGACCTTTCCTTACATCTCCAAAGTTTGAGTTCCCTCTAAACAGTCTGGGACCCACTTCTGAAAGTCTAGTGTGTGACTGACTGAAGGCAGCAGGAGGGAGAGACCCACGTGGCACCAGGGATGTCGTGCATCTACTGTGTGGCCCTCACCATGGCCCAGGCGTCTGCCAACTCCAGCTCAGAGTCTTTGTGCAGCCCACAGACTAAGAGTGAATGGTCTGGACATTTTAATGGTGGTGGTGCTGCAAAGAGAAGGACTCCATGACCTGCCAAGTGTCCGTCACGGCCAGGCCTGCGCGTGCATGAAGTTTTACTGGGTCGCCGGAGACTTGCTTGCTGGGATGCAGTCCACAGTGGCTTTCTGGCCATGATGGCAGAGTGGGGCGGCCAGGACAGGCTGTCTGGCTTACAAAGATGAAAATATTTACTTACTGGTCTTTTACTGAAAGTGCCCCTGCCCGAGTGGACCAGACAGACACAGCACAAGAAGAGATTAATACGCACTGCTGGCCCGTGAGCTCCAGCAGAAAAAGGCGGAGAAGGGGCAGACAGGGCGCTGCGGGCGGCTTCAGACAGGTGGTGGGGAAGACCCCGCTGGCCAGGCCTGACTGTGAGGAGCCCCTGCAGGTGGCAGGAGGGAAAGGCTCCCTGCAGAGAAGCAGCAGGTGCAAAGGGGCAGAGGCAGGCAGGCGGCCACACCTGAAGAGGGCAGCCAGGAGGGCAGGGCAGGCCAGCGGGGTCTTCCCCACCACCAGGCGGCCAGCACAGCAAGGAGGCCGCAGGAGGGGCCCAGAATTTTTTCCAAGGGCAACAGGAAACTACTGGAAGGTCCTGACCAGGGTAAGATCATTTTTGTTTTTGTTTCTCTTATTTTTTAAAAATAGACTATTTTTTAAGCAATTTTAGGTTGCAGCAAAACTGAGCAGAAGGAAGAGACTTCCACATATTCCCCACCCCACGGGGAAGGGTGTTTTTAAGAGCCCCTTGAGGGAGCAGGAGGGAAAACTGGCAGCCAGCTGAGACCCCTTTCCTAGCCAAGAAGAGGGTCCCAGCACAAGCCATGCCAAGCAGCACAAACCCAAAACCCAATTCACCCAAAATTAAAAACTCAATTCAACAAAGTGACAATCTTTTTTTTTTCTTTTTTTTTTTTTTGGCGGTGGTGCTGGGGAGGGAAGCCAGGGCCCCCCAGGTGCTGGGCAAGTGTCTCCACAGGTGTCTCCCAGACACCAGCCCTCAACACGGCCAGTGCATCTGAGCACGTTAATACAAGCACAGCAACCAGCACACGGCCTCCCACAACTCCAGGGCCTCACGGATCAGGACCAGGCCAACAAGAAAGGAGTGAGTCAGCCTAAAGTGACTTAAAGAACAGCTCTGATCAAGCTGACAGGAGCGGGTACAGAGTAGAAGGGCTAGGCAGTCCACCTCCACAAGGCCTGTAGGAGCCCAGAGCCGCACAGGAAGAGCTCMGGGCTGCAGCAAGGGGTGGGCGTGTCTACTCCTCCCTGGGGTRGAAACAGGGTGTGGACAGGACGCAGTTTAGAATCCACAGCCACTGCTGTCAGAGGGCGGGGGTGGGAGCAGAGGGAACTGGGGACCCAGGCAGACGGGGTCTGGGGTTATCGTCATCCGGAGTCCTAATATGGGCGACGATAACCCCAGGGAACACTGGGCAAGGTCTGGACATGTGCAACTGTCACAACTGGAGATGCTCCTGACAGAGTGGCTGGAAGCCAGAACACTGCTCACCACCCTGCCATGCCCAGGACACCGGGCCAGCCTGCAGGCAGGGCAGGTGAGAGGCCTGGCAGGCAGGGCGGGCAGGCAGGCAGGCAGCCGGAGCCCCGGGGAGACCCCCTTCCGGAGCCCCGGGGAGACCCCCTTCCTGAGCGAGTCCCCCCCGCAGCGTAGCAGTGCAGTGCAGTGCGCCTTGTGCCTCCAGTGCTCAGACAGGTGAAGTGACCTGCCCAGAGGAGGCAGCTGCACCCAGGTCTCAGATCCCACAGACTGCAGGGCACAGAACAGAGGCCAGAAACTCCGCTGCCAGGGCCGACCGACCACATGCAGTCCCTCCTCCACTGTCYAGAGTCCTACGACACTGACAGAAGCAGAGCCTCTGGGGAAGGACAGGTCTGAGGGCCCCATCAGGCAGCCATGTGGCAGGTCTGTGGAGGTGGGGGGGGTSAGGGCTGGCCATCTGTCAGGCTGCCCAGCACAGGCATCCTCTCCACAGTTCTCCAGCTGTCCACTGCTCTCTTCCCAGGGGCCTTGGGAAGGGTTTGATGCTCCTCACTTTGGCCTCTGAGCAGTGACTGGCCCAAGGTCACACAGCTTTGAGTTTGTAACCACACATTCAGATCTCCCAGGAAGAGACACCCAGAAATGTTCTTTTCTTATTGGGGTGGGGGCTATGGATATGCCAGGATTGAACCACTAAACCATTGACCACACACCCAGCCCTATTTTGTATTTATTTAGAGACAGAGTCTCACTGAGTTGCTTAGCACCTCGCTTTTGCTGAGGSTGGCTTTGAACTTGCAACTCTCCCTGCCTCAGCCTCCTGAGCCACTGGGATTACTGGGATTATAGGCATGCACCACTACACCCAGGTCCAGCCCATTTTATTTTTTATTTTAAGACAGGATTTTGCTAAATTGCTGAGACTGGCCCCAAACTTGCCATCCTCCTGCCTCAGCCTCTAGAGTCCCTAGAATCACAGGCACATGCCACCGCACCCAGCCAGAAATGTTCTCTTGCCCACTCCTCAGTCCCCACAGTACACAGTGCTCAGTCCCAGGGCTGAGCCTAGGGCAGCTCACCTCCTAGCCCACTACACTCTAAAGTGGATGACCTTCAATGCATTCCCCCCACTAAAACTCAGGTCCCCAGGGGTTAAGGTCCCTCCTCCCAATCTTCTGGGGCTCCACACCCAACCTCCCAGGGCCAAATGAGCCCCCCTCCTTGGCAGCTGAGACTCCCTGCCTTCCAGGGGAAGGGGCGGGGCACAGGACAAATGGAGCTGAGCACCTGCAGGGAGGCAGGGTGGGCACAAGGGATCCACAGAGTCTGGGCTCCTGCAGGAAGCCACAGGGACTGAGGACAGGTCTTTGCTAAGAAGAGACAGTAAAGTATGACAAAGGAGGACGTCTGCCACACCTTAAGCTCTAGGACTTAAGGTCAGCTTAGCAGCCCACTCCCCGTAGAGGAAAGGATTAGGAGATGCAGACAATCAAGACTCATGTCAACTCTCAGTGATCACGCACCTGTGCAYGCACTCACAACGGGGCCTGACACAGCACACACTTCCACACATAACACCAAGCACCCTGTAGCCTTTGTGCAACGGAACCTCCACCACTTCCTTCCCTCCCCCACGGTGACCTCCACCASGCCAGGACGGTCTGACCCTCCCAGTGTTCCCGGCACCTGGTGGGGGGAAGCAGCAAGACTTGCACAGTGTCCAATCAGAGACGCGGAAAGAGGGCCGGCAAGTTTTAGAAATCCTTGCTCAGCAAGGAGCATCAAAAGTTGACTCTACCAGTTTATACCCCGTCCTTYGAGGATTTCAAAAAATAAAAGGCAGAGGGGCTGCCTAGAGCTTTTGTAGGGGGCAGGGAGAGGCTTTGGGGCCGTCCTGGAGGCTCAGGAGGCAGCTATTATTTGAGAATTAGGGGAGTCATTAGCCCTGGCAAAGCTCTGATAAAAGCCCACAGGAGTCATCTAATGAGCCCACTTTAGAGTAGGTGCTGTTTTAGACTTTGCCAACCTGGAGACAGTGGGACAGAGGGGTGGGGTAGGACACCAAGCCCTTTGCATCCCACCATCCTCAGACCCTAAACAGCGCTGGCACTAGAGAGGACTCAAAGGGGCACACTCAATAATTGCCGCTGACACAGTCACATGGGAAAAGATACTCTTTCCATATTGCAAGATCGCTGAGCTCCGCTGAGCTGAACCACCTTTTCCCGGTCCCTAAGTGGACACAGACCCCCACTTGGCCTGATGTCACCGCACCCACTGAGCAGACCCAGGCCCTGGCAAACCCCAGGACGGGCACATTTCAGAACGAATCCGTCCCCAGCTGCCAGAGGGATGTCCACAAGGGACCACACTAGGGTGGCCGCGGGAGCAACAGCACGATTATCTCTAGAGAAGGGGCTTCCTCGAGATGGCGATCGGGCTGCAGGGGGAGGGACGGGGGCACGCGTCTCGAGCTGCGAGCGCATAACAAGTAGATTCCTTTTTTTAATAAAAAAAAAAAGAGCCCAGATTGCACGCTTATTGGGGGGATGCGGGGTGCAGGGGGGGCGTGTTTGGAAGCCGCGACGGCACAGCAGGTTGACTCGCGGAGGGGGTGGGAGCGGTGACGGGCACCAGGGGCCGCCGAGTGTCCGCGCCGGGCGCTTCCCCTCAGCCTCTCGGGAGCCCCGGGGGCCGGAAACCGGGGGCGCAGCCGAGGGCCCGGGGTCTTTTCCCCCTTTCCCTTCCTTCCTTCCTGCCTTCCTCTCTCCCGCTCCCTCCCTCTCTTTTTCCTATTGTAATTATCATTAGGATCACTTCGAATAATAGAGAAGGAGAGCCCGCGGCCGGGCCACCCACGCTGTCACCTTTTGTGCCGCCCGGCCCGGCCGCCTGGGCTCGGCCCCGCGCGCCCCGGGCCCGGGAAGGGGCGCCCCCGCCTCCGCCCTGGGCGCGCCCCGCCTTTGTCCGGCCCGCCGTCCCGGCCGCAGCCCCGCGGGCGCCCAGGACCGGGCGGTTAACGCCCCCAACTGCCTCGCCGGCCGGGACAAAGCGCGGCGGCCCAGCCGAGCAGGCCGCGCCCGAGGCCTGGGCCTCGAGTCCCCGGCGCGCCCGCAGCTCCGAGCCGCGGCGCGGGGGCGGCATGGCGGCGGCGGGGCCCGCGCTCGTACGCGGCCGGCTGCCGGCCTCCCCGCGGGCTCACCTGAGGTGGCGCGCGCGGCCCGGTCCGGAGCAGCGGCGCGCGCTCCCCCGCCCTCGGCGTCGCACCCCCAGGCCCCGCTCGGGCCGAGCCCCGCTCGGTCGCTGGCGGCCGAGCCCTCCGCGAGCGCCCCGGGGGGGGCTTATGAGGCGGCGCGCCAGCTCCGCCCCGGCTGCCATTGGCCGCGGAGCCCACGCCCGCGCGCCCATTGGCTGCGGCTGACAGCTCCGCCCCTCCCCTCCACCGGGCCCATCAACACCGCACGGCCCGCCCACCGCGCGCTGCGATTGGGAAGGAGCAGGCACCAGCCTTGCCTCCTCATTGGCCGTAGTGCAGGGACACGCCGGCGCCCACTCACGTGCCCACTGACCGGCTCCGCTTTCATTGGATACAACGCACGCCAGCCAAAGCGGCCGAGACCAACCGAATGGTGACTGTGCCTCGGATTGACAAGGGCGCCTTAGGGACCGCCCCACGACCCTCACGGAGGGAAGCAAGTATTGGCTTGCAGGATCGGCCCCAGGCGCCGACTGGCTGGGGTGGGTGCCAATCACTGCCCGATGGCTCCGGATCCCGCCCTGGTTATCAGGCGGCGGCTGAGTACGTGAGAACCAGCACAACATCAGCACCGGGCCCGGAGCTCTTCAGAGGGGGTTCGAGAACCGGCGCCGGAATTTGGGCGCCGAGTTCCATAAACCTGAGACGTGCCGAACGCGGAAACAGAGCACCAAAAGCAACGTATTTTGCAAAGGAGAAGGACTGAGGACTGGCAAAATATAGGGTCCACCAACAAGCATTCACACCCCCAAAGCAGGTCAGCAAACCTTTGCAAAAAAGGGCCAGGCCTTCGGAATCAAGTTGGGTGTCCGCCCAACAAGTTTCCTAAGGTGTAGGGAAGGAGTTTGGTCCTTCTTTATTTGGGTGGAAGCTTAGCCGGACCCCATGCCTCCCTGGGGTGGCCTCCAGCGAAGTCAGCTCGCTGAGCCTCGGTTTCCCCTGTGAAATGGACTTGACAACATCCACATACTGCTGCCCCCCTTCTGGGGATGTTGTAGGAATTAAGTGGACCGAGGCACGCATTTCTCATGKCCTCAGTTGTCCTCCTTTGCAAAATGAGTTGCCTTGGTTTCTGTCAAGCTTAGCCCTGCAATTTGGAAACTCAGTACCCAATTCCAGCGATAAGCCTAGAATCGCCCTCCCTGCGCATTCTGGGCCAGAGTGTGATTTTGTGGCTTCATATATAGCCAGCATTTAATAGAGGCTTGACATCATCATCATCATTGCGTTCTGGACCAGGCAGGGGTGTGGGCATGCTCCCATTTTGCTGGTAAGGACAGGGGTGTAAATGGGGCAATTTGACTTTTTCTAGTTGTAGATGAACACATTATCTCTGTTTTTATTTTTTTTTTAACGTGGTGCTGATTGAACGCAGTACCTCTGGCTTGAGGCAAGCACTCTACTACTGAACTGCAACCCCAGCCCATTGACTTTTTCTAAAACACAGCAAGCAGTTCTCCCTGAAAGTGGTGCYACTCTGAACCATTTGCACACTACAGCTGCTCTAAATATCCATCTGTAGGGGATTGGGTAAGTAACTTGGGGCACCTGGTACTCTGGGGTACTGAGTAGCAGCTGGAGGGTGGGGGATGGGGATGGGGCAGATCTGCGTCTCACAGCATTGTCCTGGCCTATCTCCCACACTGTCGCTGAGCAGCTGTAGAATGGCTCTGTGTTCAACAAGACATCATGGAAACCTGGGAACCAGGACCCTGGAGTTTCTGGGCACCATAGTGTCAGGTGCCCAGAAAATGCACCCCCAAGCTGAGAAGGCTAAATCTTTGGGGAAGGAGAAGAAAGTTTCATGCTTAGTAAAGTCAAAGGAGATTTGAGTCTGTTCTGGGTGTTTAAARTTCCTGTGGGACCACATTCATGTAGTCCTTGTGGAATTTAAATTTAATTTTAAAAATAGCAAATAGTAAATGCCTTCGAGAAGCTCCCAAACCAGTGGGAACCACAGGCGTGGGATGGGACGGCATCCCAGGCAGCCCTTCTCCTAATTCCAGGTGTCCCCTCTAAATGTTTTGGAATTCAGACTGAAATTTTTATTTCTTAGAAGAACTTAGTGGATTSCTTAACTTTTAAATAGCATCTCTTATGTGAAAAAAAGTTAGCATTAACAACTGTTGAATCTAGAGATTGGGTACATTTGAGGGATTACTAAGTAATTCAATTTTTTTTGTTAGAAAATTTTCACATTAGGGGCCTGGGGTTGTGGCTCAGAGGCAGAGCGCTTGCCTCGYACAGGTGAGGCGCTGAGTTCGATCTTCAGCACCAGATGAAAATAAATAAAACAAAGATATTTTTTAAAAAAGTTTTCATGTTAGGAAGATTTGTCTTTTTTCCATTCTTTGCAGACATGCAGATCTCATGGCAGCCTGGGGCCAGGAATCGTGCTTGGCGATCTCTCCCTAAAAATGGCATGAGACCCTCTTGGCCCTGGTCCTGAGATATCATAGTCAGCAGAACCAGTGCTCAAGTTCCAATTGTCTCCATCCTTCATTTCCTGAGGTGCAGAGCCAAGAAATGGCCACTGTTTTACAAAGATTCCYGTCCCCTATGGGTTAATTTCATGCATGGAAAAAAAAAAAAAAAAAAGCATGGCCAGATGCAGTGGCCCAYGCCTATAATCCCAGTGGCTCAGGAGGCTGAGGCAGGAGGATCATGAGTTCAAAGCCAGCCTCAGCAACAGCAAGGCACTAAGCAACTCAGCAAGACCCTGCCTCTAAATAGAATTCAAAATAGGGCTGGGGAATGTGGCTCAGTGTCCTGTTCAATCCCTGGTACCTGCCCCCCCCCTACACACACACACACAAAAAGGACATTTGGATCCCACATTTAAAATATAAATTTTAGAAATACACTGAGGAGGCCTGGGGTTGCGGCTCAGCAGTAGAACCCTAACCTAGCATGTGTGAGGCCCTGGATTTGATCTTCAGCACTACATAAAAGTAAATAAAAGCTATTGTGTCCAACTACAACTAAGAAATAAATATTTTTAAAAATATATACCAAGGAGAGCATGGTGCTATATGCCTATAATCCCAGCTACTCAAGAGGCTGCGGCATGAGAATCCCAAGTTCAAGGCCAAACTCAGCAAGAAACCCTGTCACAAGACAGGTCTGAGGAAACAGCCCAGTGATCGAGAAMCCCTAGGGTTAAATCCCCAGCTCCCCAGTGTGGTGCCAGAAAATAAAATCACAAATGCATTTCTGGGGGTCCAGTGGGAGAAGCCCCTGCCAGGCCGATTCCCTGGTCAACGGATCTGGCGACACCGACTTCAGGCAGAGCTCGTGCCCTCGCATCCTGTTCTGTGGGCAGAAACCTAGGTGAGGACGGGGCTGCTGCAGGAAGGAGCAGGGCCCCCACAGCTTTCTGGGAGACCACACCCCTTCCAGCCGGACCTCCTGCCCAGTGTGGAGTCAGGCAGGCCTGGGGCCCAGGGGCAGAGTGGCGGAGGGCAGTYCTGGGCCCTGGCGTGACCAGGCTCCACTGGCGAGTCTGCACTGATCCTCTCTGGCCCAGTAGAGAAAGTGGCAGAGGGCTTGCCTGGCATGTGAGGCACTGGGCTCGATCCTCAGCACCACACACAGATRAATAAAATAAAGGCCCGTCAACAACTAAAAAATATCCCAAAAAACCCTGCGGCCAGCTCCACYGACAACGGTGGGCAGACAGCCCGGCACCCTGACACCCTGAGCTGCAGCCAGGACCCGCGCAGAGGCCGCCTCCCAGGTCTGCTGTCATCTGCACAGTGCGGGTGACGCTCCTGCCTGGCTTTCTCTCCTGGGGTTTGTGAAGCGAAATGAGATCATTGGTGCAAAGTGGCAAAGAGGACGCACGATCAGATCCATCTGAGGAGAAGGTTTATTCTGAGAATCTACAGTCTGGACAAAGAACATTGAACTTCAGAAAAAGCCTACACAGGTCTCGGTGCTTCTTCCCTAACTCGTCAACAATCTAGCAAGGAAAAAAAGCCCTTTTAAAAACCCTCCTGCTCCAGTCTGTCTGCAGTTCTGATTGAAAACATCCCAGTTCCATTGAGGTATTAGCTGCAAACTTTGGTAAAGTTAGAAAAATTAACAAACCATTCAAAAAAAATACAAAATAAAACAAAAAGCCAACACAAACCAACCCTAAATTATATCTTTCTTGGTACATATACAGTAACTACAAAAAAATTCATTTAAAAATGTGTTCTTTAAAAAAAAGAAAGAAACAAACAAAAGAAAAACCCTCCCTAACTCTCAATCACAAACTGGATTTAAGGGACGGCTAGGCCCAGACCATCCGGTACCCACCCAGCGCCGGGGAGAACTGGACGGCCACAGTGTGCAGAGCCCGGTCCACTTTCCAACAGTTCAGTGCTGAAAGCAAAGAGCCCCGTCTCTGGAAAGCGGGAGCCAAGGCACTTGGACGCGGCTGGGGGCGGCCTCCCCAGCTCCGGGGAGCGAGTCCAGCTGAGGTAGCTCCCGGGACAGGGGCTCCAAAGGCGGGTCGCAGGCACCAGGGGAACGCTGAGGGTGTGCCSGTGGCCCGCAGGCCGTCCTCTTTTAGGACTTCTTGGCGGTCCGCTGGGCCACAGAGCCCAGGGCCAGAGCCACCACCGTTGAGACCACCTTGCTGGCCGCAGGAAGAGGCGCTGGCTTTGACTGGGGGCCAGAGCCACGAACCTTGCAGAGATTGTTCTAGGCAGCTGGGACCTTGCTGGTCGGTGGCGGGAACCTCGGAGGACTTCACAGCAGTAACCGACGCAGCTCCCAGGCCACGTGGTTGCCAAGTCCATCCTCAAACATTGGGGTTGTTTTTTTCCCGTTTTGCAGATACATTGCAGGCTTCATATATCAAAAGCTGAACCCAACACTGAGAAATCCAACTTCCAGCCAGAACATGAAATTCCTGAAAATGCATGGTTTGTTTAAAGAAAAAAAAAAAAAAAAAGGAAGACAAGCCTTTTTAGGGAGACTACACGTTAAGTTAAGCCACTAAAACAGAACCGGGGGGAGAGCCCCACAGGGAGGGGCCGCCAGGAAGTGGCCGCCAG